AGCTGTCTAAGGTGAAAGAAGCTGGATTTAACAACGGCACCAATTTGCCGGTCAAGTTTGAAATCACTGTCCAGTTTAAGGCCCAAGTTTGAGACTGTTGACTTAAGATAAGGAGACAGGAGGCCCAAATGTACAGGATGGGATGTACAAGGGCCACTGTGACCAAATAGTATCACCTCTGTCTGTCCAAACAGTATCAAATCTGTACCGAAATCTCAAATTGTCATACGTGATAAATAACGGTGACATTTTGCAATAATTTTGTTACACTGCTTATACTCACTCGAGCAATAATTGAACAAATGCTTGACTGATTTCAAAACTAGTCAGCCATAATAGTTTTTTGTGTACAAGTAATAATACGATGTGATGATTAAACATTTATTGAGTTTCACTGTCTGCCCTCCGAGGGAAGACGTAACTCCAAAGTGACCTGCGACAAGAATGAGTTTGACACCCCTGCATTAAACGGCAAGCACCTTCACTGCACATCATTATAACTCAGCATGAGACTCCGCCTTGTTTGGGTGTTTTTATTGTGTTTACCGTTTTCATGTTATTTATTCATGGTTTTAATTGTCTTTGTTGCGGTTGTTTTTAAAGTGCTCATTAAATTAAGTTGATTTGACTTGAGTTCTATCTTAATCCTTTCAGGGACAGCGGTTACTATCGTGGACAGCTTATGTTATTTGGTTACAGGGTGCATGAAAGGGTTAAATTGCTTAGCAGAGGTTTTCTGTAGCTTGTGTAACTATAACCGATAAAACACAAATGAAGTCAACAAATGAACAAGGGGCCTTCCACTTGTTGCATGCCATATGTGGGTTGATCATTGCAGAAAATGGCAGAATGATCATAGCATAAATGATGGCATTGGATTTGGGTAACGAGTGACACTGAAATGCCCTCGTGATGCAAGGTGACTATGTTGAAGTGAACATTTGACTTCAGGAACATTGTGAGAATTGTGTTTCCTCTTCACAGGTTCTCCTGGTCCATCTGGTGATCACAGCGGTGAATCCTCTTCCCTCTACGACTGCAGCTCACATTTAAACGGCAGCACAGTAAGACACGTCTGTCACATGTACGTTCTCCTGCTTGATCTTTCTAGTATCCAAATGTTCCACATTTTATAATTTATTAAGGTTAGTAGTTTATTATTATGTCATGTTGCCACACTTACGTTAAAGACCCTTTTTGAACCTTTCTTTGCTTGCTAGCGGTATACACTCTCAAAGCTAGTTTGTATTGTAGTGGCTTAAAAACAATGTGTTGCGATCGATATTGCTTCTGTTGTGTGACAAAGCAAAAATAATTCACACGAGTACCACACACATACCCACACACACACACACACACACACACACACACACACACACACACACACACGCACACAAAAATGTTCAGAAACACTAATGAATGTTAGCGTCTGAATTAGAGCTAGCATTCGAATGACGCTAAATCCTAATCCTTGTCAGTTGAATCTGTGTGGGTAAAGGCAAGACACTTTCGAGATGATGATATACAGTATATTGTTGTTGCTTATCTCAGAAAACCAAGAAATCAAAGATGTCAAAAAAATTGCAGTGGCAAGTTCAGTGATTGGTTGTGATTAGAAATAAAAGAATATTCGGATGACAGAAACATCACATATGTATATTAAAGGTCAGAAACCCGACATTAAAAGTTTTTTCTTGAGAGCTCGAGAACCCTTTTACAGTGCCTAACTGTCATTAAAAAGTGATGAGGTCATTGGTCGATAATGGTTAAAACACTAAATACAATTCAGAATGCGTCGTCTGTGGTTTGTATCTCGCGCCCTCTCGTCTACGGGTATTTCCGCAGCTATGACGTCACAGAAGGCAAACAATGTAGTGCCTACTGCGGCAAGTGCAGTGTACAGCAATTCAAATTAAAAAAAAAAAAAAATCCAAATGTGACATAGAATACATTTTAAGGAGTTTGAGTATCATCATTTTCATTTGTCTTCTTTGTCTTTCTTTGTTTGTAGTCCGAAGAAAGAGTTTGCATGTTCTCCCCTGGCTGCGTGGGTTTTCTCCGGGTATTCCGGTTTCCTCCCACTCAATGAGCATCAGAACAAAATAATGCCACGGCCTCCAACATGGCAGCCGTGGATTTGTTTCCTTTCGTAAAAATGCCACTGTTTTCATCAGAAAGGGATCCGAACGAAAGATTTGATGTTGTTGTGTATGAATGAATGATCTATCCTAAAGACAAATTCAAAATGTAGTCTTTTTAAACCATTTTGTTAGAAATTCCGGTTTTAAATAGCACAAGCTTTATAAAGTGCTGTCCCCATGCCATAATCTTCATGATTGTGATCTTAAAGAAACTCCTTGTTTATGTATTTCTTCCAGGCTTTATCGCCACCTTCACCCTCAGCTAATGAACCAAAGTATGAGAAGCGCTGGCTGGATGCCATTTCCCTGCCCCTGTTGATGGCCAGAGTCTCCAGATACAAAGGTGGCCCGGATGAATTAAGGTAAGGGTAATCCAGCGTGATCTAATTCACCTTTGACGGGTACGGTTCAGCGAGTGCTGCTGTTGGCTTCGCAAGCACTTTTGTTAATGCTCATATCTATGCACAGACATAAACGGCTTAAAAGGTCACTTGAGCTGAGGCACTGGTTTCTGAGGTGTGACCGAGAACATGCATTTGATTTCAGTGCCTTTCCCTTTATGCATATTGTATGAACTTTATTTTAACATCTGTCCTGTAGTACAACTCGAAAAAACCATGCAAGACTGGTATGCAATATTTTTAAAATTATTTTCATCCTATATTAAGTAAAAGTAAAATATTGTAAATTATTATTATTATTATTATTATTATTGTTATTATTAGTTTATTTATGGTTTTTTTTTTGCTTTCTCTAAAATTACTTTCTCTCTGCCGCTCAGCGCTAATTTACTTTTGTTTTGATTTTATGGGCTTTCTGTGCGTCATTAAAACGCATTAAAAGTCACTAAATGGATTTCGCAAAAGGATTAAATAGCATTAAACCTGATGTCCAGAGGCATGAAATGAAGAGATTGGAAATGGGACTAAAATTCTGATTCTCCCAGAATTGTTCAGATGTTAAAATTCCAGTTTTGGTGCCTTATCAGACACAAACTGATCCAAAACTGAGACCAACAAAGAAGAAGAAGAAGTGCGCAAATGGACCACACACACATTCACTCAGCGCCAACTGAAAGTGTGTTTAACTTGGTTCAATTATATGAACGGTCGCCTCAGTGCAACACTTGCAAAACTGCTCAACTGTATCACGTGACATGTAGAACTGAACAGTCTCAGCCAGCAGTGCGCTTTACTTCAGTGAGGTCATGCAGTAATTGGGTGAGTTAAGCAACAAAATATAGGACAATTTCCACAATAGAGTCACCTTATGACTACGGGTAACTAATGCTGGGTCAACTCAAATGTAAATCACCAACTCATATTAGCGTACAGTATATATGTTTTTAATACTAAGCAAGCATTCTTCAGGCTACCAAAAGAAGAATCATTGATCACTTCGCCATTTGAATTCTAACAAACGCAGGAGAACATCTCAATGTAATTTTAATTTCCATGCAGTGGGTTCAACAAATTCTTCTCCTTGTAATGAGACGCATGTGAAAGATTGCTAGATATGAGGCACGAGGAGTCAACGCAGCAAGTTGTAATTAGAGAGTCATTCTTCATTGATCCTGCTTCTCAGGTAACATGGCAGAAGTAACAACATGGTGTGCGTCACTCGAGCTGAAATGCTCTCAGGTATTTTCAGCGCTCCTCTTTTGTTCTGACCTCTGTTTTTCTTCAGGTCGAACTGTTTTGAAGTCTTTGCCTTGAATGGAGCCAGGCCCAATGTTCTTCAATTTTGCACTGCAGCAGAAACTGCAGACTGGCTCCAAGCAATATCGACAAAGATCAGCGACTTGACCCTAGAGAATGTAAGTATTTTCATACATTAAAGGACCCGTATTTCATAGTTTCACTGAAAATGATAGTGAACAGACAAACCAAGTTTTGAGAATTAGTACAAGAGATGATATCCAGTGCATGTAATACTTTTAACTTGCTCTGTCACAATAAAAATTAAAATGTGATGTATAGCTTGAATGGGACTCAAAAATGGACAGAACAATCCTAATCTGTCGCAGTGCCAATTATGATATACCAGTATACAGTACTGTATTTGCTGTACAGTACAGTATTTATTGCACCTAAAATATATCAAAGTGAGTCATGTGTTTATGTACCCTTCATTCACATTTTCTCAAACAATGATCGTGGTCATTTATTTACAAGCACTTAATTTCAGTTAAGTGGCGGTGATTTGTTATGGCTTTTATTTGTTCAGAGACATTTTTAAAACAATATAGTGTTGTATCAAAATATATTGATTTCCTCATCCCCCCCCCCCCGTGAATAATACCCCCAGAACCAAATCATCTTGAGATTTTATTTATTGTAGTCCCTTTTATAATAAAATGGAAACGTGTTAAAACAATACAGTACTGTACTTGGTAGAATGTAAGATTTTATCAACAAAAATACAGTTACCCTTTTACCCCCAAAGTGGTTTGATCCATTCAATCTTTCCCACTTCTCGACTAAGCCACGAACTAAGAGTGCAAGCACACTGCCTTGCATTTGTGTAGAGTAGAATGAGGATGACTTTGTTGAAGCCAGGATATGTGGCACATTTCTTCTTTTCTACCACTCAATATCAACAAGTATCTTGCGTGCGAGTCGTTGTGAAAACCCCGGACAAGGAAAAGCAGAAAGTGACTTCTTCTTTATTCTTTATTCATAATATAGTCATTACCAGCCCTCATTTTTTAAGCGCTTATCAGCAGGTTGCCGTAATTTCTGAACTACAAAACCCTTTGCATTTGTCTCTCGCTCTCTCTCAGCTCCTCCCTCACACACGTGCACTTCAACCGATGATGGTTGATGAATATTCAGTCAGAGAGCGGAGTCAGACAGTTTCATTGCGGCACTGTGACGTGTTTGGTAAATTGATTGGTCAGATGTGACGAGACGTTTTGTGGTAAATCGATTGGTGCCTTGAAGCTCGGCAGTAAAAATTCAAAAATGAACCGCCACACATTAAAACACGAAGAGTTTAAAGCGTGGGGGAGGAGCAACTCATCATCCGGAAAATACGGGGCACTGCTGATGTTACGTAGGAGTTAGAAGACATATGTTCTTGGAAACGCGGCAGGTGGTTAGATGGTGCTACTGTCCTTTTTAAATCGCAATGAGAGAAGCACACTTTTGGCATGCTAATGTGTTAATATTTAAGCCAAGATGCTACTGACTGTCCAACTAAACGGATGCCCATTATCATTGAAACTCCTATCGTGTGTGTGTGTGTTTGTGTGCGTGCGTGCGTGCGTGTGTGTGTGTGTGTGTGTGTGTTTTGCATATGTGTGCAGGTGCACGTGTGCATGCATATTTGTTGAGCAGAAAAATGCAGAGATGGGAAAAGTACTGACTTTCTCTACATGAGCAGAAGCACAATTGTGTCAACGGCTTTGCAAAAAATAAAAGTACTATAGTCAACCATCCATCCATTTTCTAATGTACTTATCTTCATGAGAATCGCGGGCATGCTGCAGCCAATCCCAGCTGTCTTCAGGCAGGGTTCACCTTGAACTGGTTGCCAGCCAATCACAGGGGCTAAAATCATTCATATATTTTCTGAAGTAAAATTAAAATTAAAAAAAAAAAAACAACTTTAAACCAAAATCTGCATCAAGAGTAAAAGTAAAAAATAATTGTCACAGGATGTTTCCTACTCGGCGGCCCGGTAGTCGAGTGGTTAGCACGTCCACCTCACAGTGCAGAGGTCGTGGGTTCAATCCTGTGTGGAGTTTGCATGCGTGGGTTTTCTCCGGGTACTCCGGTTTCCTCCCACATTCCAAAAACATGCATGGCAGGCTGATTGAACACTCAAAATTGTCCCTATATGTGAGTGTGAGCGTGAATGGTTGTTCGTTTCTGTGTGCCCTGCGATTGGCTGGCAACCGATTCAGGGTGTGCTCCGCCTACTGCCCGAAGACAATTTGGATAGGCTCTAGCACCCCCCGCAACCCTAGTTCAGGATAAAGCGGTTCGGAAAATGAATGAATGATTGAATGTTTCCTACTCACATTGTATAATTTAATAGAAAGTTGAAAGATCATCACGAAACAGCCACTGGCACACGATTGCTTTCGAAACCGATATGATGAATTCTCCAAGTAGACCCAACTCTTGCAATCTTTTTTTTTTTTTCACTTTTCGTGTCCGGTTTTGCCCCCTTTTAACTGCGATCAGTGAGGGATCACTGTACTGCTAGTTGCAGAAAACAAATTCTTCCAAAAAATATTGACTGTTGTTCATTCTTTGTGCAATGGAATGAGGATGAAGATAAAACTCAAGTTATACAAATCGCTGGTCACATGGAGCCAGGAATAAACATTGTATGAAACCAAAAGCACTTGCAAAGGCAAGGTTAAATAGAACATGGATTAAAGGCAAAATGAAACTTTAAAAATCCAATAACATGAAAACAATCAAGACTAATAGTAAAATGACAAAACAGTTACATATGAGAATCTGATGAATAAGCGAGAGTGACTATGAAGTATCGTGAGGTCTAGAAAACAATGCTTGAAGCATAACAGCGAGCAAGGTCAATAATCCAACATGGAGAAGCAGAAGTCAATCCTTAAATACCCAGCCAGGCTTGATTGGGTAACGAAGGACAGGTGCACCTGCTGGAGGGAAACGCCCTTCACTCCAGCTGGAGCTGCAACGCAATCAAGACAGACGTGACAATGTGGGCTGGGCACCTTTCATTGTGCATGACACTAAATAAGAAATAAACGACACTAAAAACTATTCCTGTATGCTGACTGAATAAATAATATACTATGACTAAGTCTGAACGTGAATTTCCAACTGCCCCAAACTGTTTCCACCCACATGGCCTACAGTATGCGTGAATCCACTCAAGACGTTCGCCAGCAATGCCACATTATTTACTGTGGAAACCTGGTTGGAACAGTGGTACTCCTTAATGACACTGATAAGCACTCATTGAGTTACAGTGGCAGCTCAGCCCCTGTGCTGACATAATTGACACTCTCTTGTACTTAATTAATGGCTGCTAAGTAGTCATTCAACATGTGCGCTCCTCGCTGATTTCCTCTTATTTGACTTTGATTGTCACACTGGGGTGATGCATTGATGTAAGGACGTCGGCATATGTGCTCACATGCTGATTGTGCAGCTGCCTTTTTATGACACGTGCAATCTATTCATACCTACTTGTGGCAGGGGAATGTTATTGCTAAACGGCTAATCAAGATGTAATTGTGAGGAGGCTTTGGAGGAGCTAATCTTTTGTGTTAGTGACCTTTTTTTTCTCGATCTTGAAGCGGCCAGTCGTCTCCCTTCAGTGGCTCGTGCGTTACTTCTGTTGATGACGTGTCTGCTGCTGTTGTGCTCTAATGGTCTTTTGGAAAGGCTTAAGAGTCAGCAGTTGTGGTGCGGTGTGCGGCTTTTGTTTGAAACTGCACAAGCTGGGAGCATGTTTATGCTCTTTGCTAATCAGCGATGTGCAAAGATAGTTTCGGTGAGAAAAAAAAGGTTACTTCTTGGAATTTACACATCAATAAACAATAGGACACTCTTGACTGAGCTATTTATTTCAATTAATTTGATGAATCTTCAAAGAGAGTTTTGTTCCATAATGTTCACTGGGTTTATCGAAAGAGTAAGCGAGGACAATTGAAGCTGTGACACCAAGGACTGTATTTTCAGACACATGCACACATGCACTCTGTATAAAGACTGTTGGCATGTTCATTTTTGCTCCATTGCAGGTCTAGTTTACTATGTTTGGGAATTGTGGCAAACTGTGCTACGGCACGTAGGGCATTTTGGCATACCAAGGGTGTTTTCTATTACACTGCCCCAGTGAAGCTGACAATTAGGTGACAGAAAGTACACCAGGGGTCGGGAACCTTTTTGACTAAGAGAGCCATGAAAGCAAAATATTTGGAAATATATTTCAGTGAGAGCCATCTATCTATCTCTCTCT